CGCGCCCCGCAGACCCTGCCCTCGCCCGAGGCGGACGCGCTCGCCGGCAGCAAGCACAAAGAGGAGAAGGCCGACCTGGACCCCAGTAAGTTGGGAGCAATTTTCCTTTACAACCGGCGCGGGAGGGGAGGAGAGGCCGAGCGGGGGGAGCCGGATTACAGCCCCTCCGAGTGGCGCAGGGAGCGCGGGAGAGGGGTGAGGGCGAAGGGGTGAGGACTCAATAAAAGCGAATTACCTTGGGGAGCTTTCAGGGGCAGGAAGGTCTGAAAGGGGGCCCCCGAGGAGCCAGGTTGGGAGAGAGCTGAGGGGGGCTCCTCTCCCAGGAGCAGGTTTGGAGGAGAGACCCCCGCCCTCCGCACCCCCAGCCCAGGCTTTTTGGCTCAGTCGTTACTTTCGAAGAAATGCAGACAGGGCCAGGGGCTGGAGTGGGGGCGAGGTTCATTTTATGGTTTGAGGTGGGATGGGGCAGAGATGAGGAGGACACTAGGGGCAGGGAGAGAATTCACCCTACCTCCCAGCCAGCATGGGGTGGGGGTGGGGGGGTCCTCACACCACTGGAGATTAATAAAACTCAAGGTCTATGGACTTCTCTCCCAGGACCACTGAGTGCAGGGTCTGGGGGAACTTGGAGAGACAGGACTTGCAGAGTTGGGGGAGAGAAGTGGGGTCCCAGCCTCAAACTTGAAAGCCCTCTTCTGAGGGTCTGCAGGAGAGAAGGTAGAAAATGGGGGTGTCAGGGATGAGGAGTGGGGAGAGACATCTCCCCCATTAAAGAATTACACACACACATACACACACACACACACACACACACACACACTCCAATCTGGGAGACAGGAGCCTTTAAGTGTTGCAAAGAAGGGCAGGGGTAGGTGGGGAGGGGCAGGTGGGAGCTGTAGGGCCAGGGAAAGCAGAAAGAAGGGAAACAGCAGGGGAGGGGTACAGCCCCCTGGGTGTGAGGAAGTGTCTGGGGGAGTCCCAGGAGGGGGCTCCAGGAAATCCTTTCCTCCAGCCCCATAAGGGGCCGGGGCCTAATTATACCCCTCTGAGCCTTCCCTCCTTGCCCTCAGCTACTCTCATAAACCTGAAATTGGAGGCTTCGCTCCTGCAGAGCCTGTCCTGGGGCTGGCCGGAGGGGTGGGGGCCCTGGAAGTCAAACAGGGAAGCTCACATATAGGGGGGGCCTGATTCCAAGGCCAGCAGCTCTCTGGGGAAGAGGAGGAAGGCTTTTCCTAGCCCAGCATCACCCTGAGAATTCGCCTCAGCAGGGTTGGACTCAGAGAGCGGAGATGAGCAACAGCGCTGGAGTGGGTAGTGAGGGGCTTAGGGACTCTCAGGGTCAGGAAGCAGAACTGCTGAAATTTCAGGACTTGGTCGTGGGCTGGGTGGATGGGAGGGGGCAAAGGAGGAGGGAAGTGGGGAGGAGAGAGACCTCACTATAAAAATAAAAAACAAGAGAGAGAAGCATTTATGGGCCTATGAAACGGTTGGGAATTTGGACTTTTTATGGGGATATTCTCCAGTTACTGCTCTTGAAGCTGAGGACCAGACTGTTGGGGCTTTGATAGCTTTGATTTCCTACAGTTTTAGGAAACTGAAGTAGGGGGACATGGGGAGAGGGGCAGAATGCAAAAAGAGTGAGGGGAAATGCCTACAGCAAAACGTGTCCAAATTCAGGTTCAATTATTGGGTTTTGATAGCCTGGCAAAGACTGGGGGTGGAGTGGCAGGGATCCTGGGCTGGAAAGGGTCTCCACTGACCCCTGCCTGTGTTTGGCCCTCCAGGCAACCCCGTGGCCAACTGGATCCACGCCCGCTCCACGAGGAAGAAGCGCTGCCCCTACACCAAGTACCAGACGCTGGAACTGGAGAAGGAGTTTCTCTTCAATATGTATTTAACCAGGGACCGTCGGTACGAGGTGGCCCGGGTTCTCAACCTCACCGAGCGGCAGGTCAAAATCTGGTTTCAAAACCGGAGGATGAAGATGAAAAAGATGAATAAAGAGAAAACCGACAAGGAGCAATCCTAAACCCTGCCCCAGCCTGCTGCCTCGGCACAGCCAAGGGAAAAACAAAAAACCCCACAAAAAACCCAGCCCAGGCGGGAGAGAGCACGAAAAAGGAAAGGAAAGAGCAAGCTAGAGAAAAGCCAATCAGCTTAAAAAGAAAAAAAAAAGGAAAGGGAAAAGGAAAACTCTTGCGATTTGGGAGGGTTCAGTGTTGAGAAATTGGTGTTTTAGAGTTAGTTCTACCCAGCGAGGATCAGGAGGCGGGGAGAGAAGCCGCATTCTCTTCTCCTGCGCAACTGAAATAAATGACACACACAATGTGATTTTTTTCCTCCTTTCTTCAGAGAAGCCAGTACTTGAATCGCTATATTTCTATTTTTTTTCCTGTATCATATTTGGTCCGGGCCATCTCTCCCCAGGCCTGGGGTGCTCTGCGTGCAGATTTTGTACAAAAAAAAAGATACACATACACACACAATAATGATTCCCAGCCCAGGAGCTGAGGGGCGAGGGCCGGGGATGGTGCCGCAGGCTGGGTCCAGCGCGCAGGCCGGTGCCTCGGGCGTGTACATAGCAGTGTTTCCTATCATCCCCCCGCGTCCGTCCTGTAACGTGCTTCTGTTTGTTATGGTAGAACAGCTCTGTGTTAATATATGGAAGTCACTTAAAAAACCAGAAACCCAACTGCATCCAGTTCTCATTATTTCTCCTCCCTGTGGCTCCCAGGCTGCTGTCGTGGAGGAGGCAAGTGCTCAGATCCTTTGGGGGAGGCTGGAGCCAGGAAGGGGCTCTCTTGACCTCGGGAGGGCAAGTGCCTGCTGCTTCTCTCCAGGCTGGGTGGGGTGGGTGAGGGCTCCAGGGTGGGTGGAGGCTGCTTAGGCCTGGGTCCAGTTGTGCCTGCTCTGATAGCTGCCTAGGAGTTTCCTGGTAGCTCCATGGAGTCCAGGGGGGTGGGGGCATGGCATGAATGGCTTTCCCTCGCTGTAATTAATTGTAATAATTTATGAGTACAGGAGATCGGAGGGAAGAGATAGGTGAAGATGAAAGTTGGGTGCTGGGTGAGGGCCCGGGCTGGATTCTTGCCTGACTGCATCGGTGCTTCGAGGGATGGCTAGGGGGGTTGAGTAGGGAGGGTGTGCAGTTTAGAGGAGGAAGGCCAGCAGCCCTCAGGGAGAATAGGCGCTGAGAACTTCGTTGAGAATAAAAGGAGGAAGATGGGGGGGGGGGCGGAGAGAGAAGAGGAGAGAGAGATATAGTAAGGAAGGAGAAAGATGGCAAAGCCAATACAATCAGAATTAGATTTAGTTTTCACTTCTCAGTGTATTCTCTGTCTCTCTAATGGTTAGTTTGAATGTTGGTCTTGGGTGCAGCTGCAGCATTCTGGGGGGCAGTGTGGCCAGGGCCCAAGGAAGCTACTCAGGGATGAGTCAGGCGTGGAGCGTTCTCTGGTGGCTGAAGGACCCCAGCATAAGGAGGTAGAGATGTGTGTCTGACAGCCTGGAGGGACTGTCAGTTGCACTGTACCCCAGAGTGCCCTCCCCAGAACTGGCAGTTTCATCTGCTAATCAGAAGCAGACACAACTGCAGGGTATGCCTCTGCCTGGGCGCCCCCTTTCTCGGAAATCCCCCAATCTGGAAACTATTAAACTCAGACTGCCTGAAATATAGCCCTTTAATATCTCAGGCTGCCCATTCTGGAGAGGGTGCAGGGTGTTGCTCTGAATTCTTGGGGTGTATCATAAAAGAAAATAATTGGGGACCCTGGGCCTTGTGCAGCTCCCTGGGCCATTGCATTGTCTTACAGGATTGGTGAGGCACTTGTAGGGGCCAGCCCCTCCCCGTCATTTGAATGTCCTACCCCCTCCTTCCATTGAAGGCTCCCCTGTTGGGGGCTGGAGGAAGGTGGGAAGGGGTGAACATTTTGTGTTGATGATATTTTGAGTTGGGCCATCAAAAGTCGCAGACACCAGAGTGGTGTTCCCAGTAGCTGAAGCACCCTCCCCTCTTTCCCGCTTAAGACACATCCTTTCCAATTCCAGAATCCATTGTTTCCTTGGTCCTTTTGAAAGGTGCTTTGCCTGTAGATTTCTCGCCTTTCTCGCCGCCTCACTCCTCCCTTTGGCCATTTTGCTGTTCTGTGACCCTGGCCTCAGTTCCGCACCCACTGGGGAACAAGGCACCCATCTGCCCGGGTCCTGACCGCAGGGACTCAGGCTTCTCTCCCAGCCCCGAAGCTTGGCGGCCTTTCCGGGCTTCCAGCCGCCCCTGTTCCAAGGCCCTTTCGCCTCCCCTCGGCCGTCAGCGGGGCCTGCTTCCTGCAGCTGCCCAGCCGGCCTGAAGGCGGGCAGCAAGGAGGGCGCAGGGCTCCAGGGCCCCCAGGAGAGCGCGGGATCCAGAGCAGGCCCACCCGCCCCGGCCTACTGTTCAGTACCAGCTCAGCCGCCTGCAGGTCAGGATTGGATTCAATTTTTATTTATTATAATTTGTGAGTTAAAACCACCACGACACAACACACATCTGGGGAAAGAAACGAAAGCGGGGGGGAAAGGGGCTAGCAAACGCCCTCCTGCCCCTAATCTTCCCCTCCCACCTCTCCTCTGCTCCTTTGTCAGAATCACAAAACCCTAAAGGTTGTTCCACTTGGAAAGGCCGGGGATAGGTACATTTCCGCAGCACCGAAATGCCACTTTTATGGCGCTGTTTGTCTCCCTGCGCTGGATTCTGAATGGGGCCGAACAAAACAGCAGCGCGGAGCTGGCTAGACGTCTGGGCTTAATTGTTTTATGGTTTAAATAAGGTGGACACTCTTCCCTTTGAAATCAGATTATAGGAATGTTTTGTCTATGGCCCACGGAGAACAGGACCTCACTGGCTGGGAGGGAGAGGTGGAGAGAGCGCGCGTGAGAGAGGGATGGGCTGCAAACCAGGGGGCAAACAGCCGGGAGAAGTCAGAGTCCCACCCCAAAGTCCAGCGGGCAGCGGCGGAATAGGCGGTGCGGCACCAGCGGCAGGGTAAGAAGAGCCAGGAGTTCAGGGTGCAGCCTCGGGCAGGTGGTTGCGGGAGCTTCAGAGCGTGCGTCGGCGTGCGCGGAGGTGTTCCCAGCCCAGAAATGCGCCTGAAGAGGGGAGGAGGAAGGATCGCGGCAGTGCCTTTGCTTGGTGTCTCTTAATGCGGGAAGAGAAGGTTTCAAAAAGAGAGAATAGTGTGAGCCCTTTGACAGGTTTATCTCGAGAACTTATAAAACAAAGGAAAAGCGGTCCCGGGGGAACTCCCTTGCAGGGACCCTCCTCCCCGTCGCCCATTTGGAAACTCCTTCCTGCCACTTTTCACCTTAGGGCCAAGCCTGAGACCCGCTTGCTCCCTCCCTCGGCTTTTCCCCGGCTGGACTGCATTGGAGAAAACGAACGCGAGGTGGCGCTGTTGTTCAATATTAGAGGCGGCGGCGGCGCCCCTGGCCCGCCTGGCCGCG